ATTAATGTCAAATAATAATAATAATAATAATAATAATAATAATAATAATAATAATAATAATAACATAAAATAATAATAATAATAAAATTAATAAATAAAATAATTTCATTTAAAAAACCTTACGTAAATGAAAAATATTTTGTCGTGGTTTTAGTTTTAGGTTTTTTTTTCTTTTTTATTTACTCTATGAAATTTATTCTTTGCAATGATGATCATTTTTTAATATTTAAATTTTTATTTTTTAATAAGTGATGACAAAAATAAAATAAAATTGTTTTTAACCGTAATAATAATAATAATAATTTTTGAGTAGCTCCTTAATTTTTTTGATTATGCAATTTTTAAGACACGACGAAACGTGAAAAAACATAGAAATTTTCCGTTAGAAAAAAAAAAAAAAAACGTTTTCCATTCATTCTCAGTCTTAATTTCTTTTTTTTCAAGTACAAAACATTATTTAAATATATATGTAATAATAATAAAACTTCTAGATTATTCCATGATGCTACGATTCAAATCTTACTGACATATTTCAATAAATAAAAAATTTAATTGTTACAACAACAACAACAACAACAACGTTCTTTTCGATAACTTTTTCTAATATTATTCAAAATAATACATAGGTATTAAAAATTATTATTATTATTATTATTATTATTAGTATAAGAACAATTTGATTAAAGAACAAAAACAAAAAAAGAAATCATAACAGAAATAAATTAATAAATAATAAACTGATGATAATAATATTTGTAATTATGATAATTTAAAAAAAAATGATATTAAAATTTGTCTTCTTGTTTTTATTATCATTATTTTGTTTAAAACATTCTAGAAATATTTATTCATGTTATTGTTATTGTTACATTAAATTTAACAAAAAATAATTTTTAAAAAAATATCCACAAACAATAACAAAATCGAAACAAACGAAACGCTTATTATTACTTATCATTAATTTTACGTACGATACCATCATCATCATCATCATTATTATTATTATTACTTTTAACGTTATTAATGTGAATGACATACATATTTATTATTATTATTATTATTATTATGTTCACCATTAAACACGACAAGGCTCTTATTTGTCGGGGTTATTATTATTATTATTATTATTATTATTATTATTATTATTATTATTATTATTATTATTATTATTATCGTATATAAGAACGTAATAATTTTTTCATTTTTTTTTTTTTTTCTCGTCCAAACATTGTCGAACACCTTTGCTCTATCATTATTAGCAAAAAATTTTTTTTTATTATTGATAAGAAAAATAATAATAATAATAATAATAATAAAATTATGTAATAATTGATATAAACTTTTTTTAAATATACATAAAAATTATTAAAAAAAGAGAGAATCTTATTTAAAATAATAAAAATAAATAAAACAACAACAATCAAAAGATTCGAATAATCATTATTATTATTATTAATATTAATATTATCATTAATGAGGGAGAGAGAGAGAGAGAGAGAAAATTAAAATCCCTGAGATTTATTATTTACTTTTTATTATCAATATCTTTTTTTTTTTTTTTTTTTTTTAAATAACTGATAAGATTGATAAAATTGCATTTTTTTTATATATAGATAGATAGAAATATTAATTATTGCAAAGATTATTATTGATGACATCATCATCATTTATTATGCTATTATTATTATTATTTTATTTTAAATTATTTATTTATTTATTTACACAAATTTTAATTAAATTTAGATATGAAACGGATCGCATGAGTTTAAACACGTTTTACAAAAAAAAAAAAAAACATAAATTTTATGTTTTTACGTTAATGATATAATTACGTACGTTACATAATTCCGCCATTTTGTTTTGTTTTTGACATTTTCTCACGTCGTTTTTATATTTTTAATGTTTAGTCATTAATTATTATTATTATTATGCGTACATTTCAATTTATACAATTACATAATTATTTTTTTTTACTTTAACAAGTTAACACAGAAGAACAAAATGTAAATAAATATTTTAATTAAAATATAAATTTTTTTTTAAAAAAAATATTGCGCAATAATTTTTTCATTTGAGATTTTGTTTGTCGATTATTCTAGACTATCATTTCTGTTTAAAATTTGAGACGATTGTACAAAAATATATTAATAAATAATTAAATTTAATTCTGCTCGTGTAGTAAAAAACCCTTAATTCCAGGCAATCCAGTTTTGACAGATTTTTGATATTTCATGTATTCCTGTCCGAAAAAATATAAAAGAGAATGTTCCTCATGATAAATTCTCTCATTGAAAAATCTCCAACTTGCAATCGTATATGCAATCGTGCAAATCGGATTCAAAAGTAAAACCTTTAAACGATAAATAAATTTGAAAATGTCATGGGGGGTTTTTTTTAAATAAAATTATGTTTACAAAAATGGATGGAAAATAATAATGATGAATAATTTTATTTACCTGTGTCCCTATAGACCAATAAAACCAACCTACATAACTTGGATGTCTAAATAAACTGTAAATACCATGTGTGACCAGCACATGTTTATCATCTTTTTCCGTCTGAACAATGTGTGCAAAATTTGTACTACCTGTAATCATGGCAGTTTTTCTCAGACCTTCTCCGACAATGCAGAGAATAAATCCTATACATGCTAAAAAATTATATCTTTTGAGCCCTAAAAACACATTTAAAATAATAAAGTAATTTCTTCGGTTTAAGTACATGTAGAATCAAATTACTTTTCGAATAAAAAAAAAAAAACGAATAAGATTTTTTCTTTAATTATTATTACTATTATCGTTGTTTAGTAACCTGGTAAAAAATAAATTTCAGTAAAAAATTCAATCCAACTAGCGATAGCAGCAATATTATAAGGTACACTGTGATTAATTAAAAAAGAACTAATCGATAATGTTTTCGGATTGCAATATGCAATTGTTAAAAATTCTGAATAGTGAAAAAATGACATTATGCACATGTAATAACCGAAAAGTTGCCATCCGTTCGTCGAATATAATATTACAAATATGCCAGTGGAAAAAACACCACCCAAAAATATAGAACGAATTCCAACCTAAAAAAAATTCTTATTGTTATTATTATTGACATTTTTTAAAGAAAATAATCTACAATTTGGTAACAAGGAAATAACAACTTACCTTAAAATAAATTCCACGTGAAAATAATTTTAACAAAACGATTAAAATAAATAAAAAAATAAATTGAAACCAAATTATGTTTTGACGAGTATTTATTATAAATAAAAATGGTGAAATAAAATCCAATATCGGCAACAAAACAAGTAAATTACTTATAAGAAAAAATTGTAAACTTATTTTTCCTTCTTTAATTAACATTTTAATATATTTATTTTAAATTTATTGAAAAAAAAAAAACTAACCGATATTTACGTATAAACATTAATAAATATAAAATTAAAATTTATTTGTTTACATTTTTTAATACGAATGAGAGCGGCCATTTTGAAAATGATATTTCAACCATTGATGAAGGCAACAAGTCGAATTTTATTTTTTTTATATTTGTATTACGTCACACATCAAACGAGACAATCAATTCTGGGAATTTTTTTACAAAGAGAAAAATAAATAAATAATTAATTTCTATTAAATTTTAATAATTAATTTATATAAAAAATTGACGATTGCGTCAAAAATTAATTATATTTTAATTAAATAACCGTAAAAACACAAATAAAAAAGGAAAAACGTTTGAAAAAAATTCTAAATCAAATCATTCATATGTGGTCACACGAATTAAAATTTCAATTCCAATCTATATATTTTTTTTTTTGCTCGTAAAATTCTATTTTAAAAAAATTTATATTAAAATAAAATTTAAATGTTAAAATAAAAAAAATACATTCAATAAAAACAAATTATATAAATAATTTTCATTAATATTAAATAAAACATGTATTACGATATTATTATCAATGTGGTTCTATTATAACTTTATAATAATATTATATTAATTGTTTCTAGTAAAAAATGTTTTTTTTTTTTAAACGAAAAAGAGAGAGAAAAATGTCAATTGATCTCAATCTAATAAACAAAAATATAAAAAATCGCCATAAGATTATTTTAAATAACAGAATTCATCTTTTTTTTCGTTTTTATTTAATTTTTTACTCCAATACATATTTACTTTCTTTAATTAAATAAATAAATAATTTAATTAAAAACGATTTTAATTTATAATAAATATAATAATTTATGTTTATTTATTACGCCTTATTATAATTTTTAATAATCATTATTAAGCGTGATGACGTATAAGTAACGGCAGACATTTTTATTAATGTCATCAAATATTCTATCGTTGAAAATTTATTATCTTTAACGTTCCATTACAATTATTATTATTATTATTATTATTATTATTATTATTATTATTATAAAATTTCTTAACGACAACAAGACGAAAACATTTTTTTGTTAATAATACATTTAAAATAAATGTGTCAATTTTGTTGAATAGACCATGAAAAATGTCTAACGTGTAACAAAATTCGCCATCCCCCTCACCCGAAAATAAATTATTTAATTTCGACCAATGAGAATCGAGGAAAAAAACGTTTTTGATTGGTCGCTTTTGCTCACGATCATTTCAATTTCAAAACTAACTTGGGGTCGCGACGCACGATAAAAATTTTTTTTTTTCCCTTCACTTCGTATTATTATTATAATCATCATCATCATCATCATCATTGCGATTGTTGCGAGTAAAATTACGAGGGGAAAAGCATTGCGACGGGGATTGGAGGGAGGGGGAAACAAGCATATTATTATTATCATAAATGCCTTGATTTTAATAATTAATTTATCGTTTATTAACTAAACGTTAAATTAATAATAATAATAATAATAATGATAATAATAATAAAATGACATATATGCGAATAGAAATGAAAATAAGGGTTATTAATTAATTTTCGTACGAAAGAAGAATTAAAAAAAATTTTTAAATGTTTTACATTATCATTTTATTTAAACGAATGTAACCGTTTTCTAACGATCCGTCGGATGTGTGCATATATAACTTTTTCAACGTGATTATTTCCCCTTTTTTTTTTTACAATTTTATTATAAATTGCATTTATTTCCGCGTGAATTTTATTTATAAAACTCACGTCATCTTAGATTGAAACGTGTTGATACGGCGGACGCGCAATGCATTGTGGGTAAAAAAAAAAAGAATAAAAAATCGTTTTTTTTTTTTTAAATCTATCTTCGTCTTTTTGATGATTTCTTTCAATTTAAAAAAAATTTTTTTTTTCTTAAAAATGATTTTAAAAAATGGAATATTTTTAATTGAAAAATATTAAAAACAATTAATAAATTATTAATAAAATTATTTAATTTTCGAACCACGAAATTTTAATTTAAGATTTATCGAAAAATTTACGCTTATTTTTTTTAAGTTCGAATACTATGACGTCATTTGCAATATTTTCAAACCGTTAATTTAATTTAATTTAATATGTCCGTCGGCTCATCGTATATATAAACTAGGTTCGAAACATTTTTAATTATTTTAATTTATTCATTCGCGTGTACGTTTCATTTCCATATATTTAATTAACAACAACATAATCGTCGAAGGAAAAAAAAAATCGTGTAAATTTTTTATTACACGATTTTTCCTCGTTTATTTATTTATTTATTTATTTATCGCGTGTGAATAATTATAAATTACTCAAACGTGTTTTTTTTTTCACCTTTTCATCCGCGGATTTAATAAAAAGGAGAAAAAACGCGTGATTTTATTTCAAATTTGTTTAGTTTTTGTAAAATTAAAAGTTAAATAATAAATTGAAATAAATAAATAAATGAATAAAAATTAAATTTTCTCTTACGTTATTATCAATTTACCTCTCCCCCTCCGCTCCCCTCTCCTCCTCCTCCCCCCCACTCCAAACACACCGCCTACTCGGTCCGAATAAATTATTTTTATTCGACCAATGAAAAATAGAATTTGAAAATTTTTCATTGGTCGGTTTTTGCTCACGATCACGTTTGAATCCAGTTAACGCGCGCCGTGAAATTTTTAACGGTTTTTTTCGCTTTTTTTCTTTTTTTTTTTTAAATAATTAAATGCGTATAAATCGGGCTTATTTCGTTTTTACGATTTGTTTTTTACTTTTCAAATAAACAAAAATATATGTATGCATATCAATTTAATAAATTATTTAATAGAAAATAAATAAAAACCGTATAAAATTGATTTTATTTGTAATTTTCGTTCCGGAACGTTATAACGACATTTTTTGTCAATTTTTTTTTTTTCAAATTATAATTGAAACTTTAATTCTATTATGAATCCGAATCGTTATTTTATTATTTACGCGGTTAATATTATTAATTTTAAACAGTTTTTCATTATTATGATTGATATTAAATTAGAACAAAACCAAAAAACCTTTTTTTTTTTTTACATTTGGTTAAATTTAATTTAAATTTAAATAATCACTTACCTTGTTTTCTTTTTGAAAAACGATTTAATAACGGTTTTTTTTCACACATACACTTATATTTCAAATTAATTACTTTCTTTCTTTTTTTCTTTTTACTTTAAATTATTTAAAATAAACTTTAAAATAAACTCAAATAAAATAAAACAAAATCACTCCGAAATAAAAAAAACTTTTCGTTGAGTAGTTACCACTTCGACTGACACTACCGTAATAACTGATGAAAATTTTTCTACGGTTCATTTATTACGTCATAGAGATTATTTTTTTTCACAGAGATAAATGACGTCACAATTGCTCGTTTCTCATTGGTCCCTTAGTTTTTAAATACGTTTCATTTGTTTCCCTCGTAAACTATTCCTTTAATTCATTTTCTACAACTATTTTAATTCTTTAGATTTTTTTTTTTACTACAACCAGACGACGACGACGACGACAATTTAGGGCAACAAGACGATCATTTACCTTTTTAACATCCGTTAAAAAAAATTCCAGGGTAAAAAAATTAAAATTAAAATTTGTTTTTTTTTTTTTATTAAATATTTTTTTTAATCGTAACGAAATTTACAGTCTATAAAAATTAAATGTACAAAAATATTTTTTTTATTAAAATTTATCCTAAAATACATTTATTAATATTAATATTATTATTATTATTATTAATGTTTTTCTTCGTATAAAAAAAAATTAATAAAAAATAAAAATAAAAATAAAATAAAATTCATTTGCAACATTATTCAGACTAGTTTACAAAATTACAAAAAAAAAAAAAATTACATAATAATAATAATAATAATAATAATTATAAATCATATTATTATTATTATTTTTCTTTATTACATAAAGAAACTGTTTAAGGTAAGGGGGGAAGGAGAGAGAGGGGGTGGAGAAATGTGGGAGGGACGGGGGGAAGAATCGGGCAGTGATTATTATTATTACGTTATATCATCATCATTATTATTAGCGCGCTTTTTCTTACAATCAGTCTGTTTTTTTGTTTCTCATTTAAATAAAATTATATATTTACATATTTTCTAATTTATTTATAATATGATTTCTCTTCGTGTTTATTGCTTCGGTTGAACTGGATTATTTTCATTTTTAATGGCGTCGATTTTGGCTATGATTTTAACCGCCGGACCCAATTTCATGGACATGACGGACATGAGATGATCGGGTTTGAGAAGCATCAAAGCTTCGCCGTCGATGTCTTGCATCGCGAAATCTTCGACGTAATCCGCGCAACCCGGCAAGTTTCGAATGAATTCGCACACGTCTGCCACCTGCAAAAAAAAAAAAAAAAAAAAAAAAAAATCAATCACCGTCGTCGGTGTCGTTTCGATCATTTTATGTTGTCACACGTGTAATTAATAAAACACGTGGACAAATATCGTCCAGAAAACTCACCGTCCATTGCAACGGATTGACTTTGTCGCCATCTTCGTTTGTGAAATTTGCATTTTCCTTACTTTCTTCTTCCGGCGACGAAGAACTTTCGTCAACCGATTCGTTCATCATGTCTCCGTCGGCATCCGCTTTTATTTCCTCTTTGGCTATTAAATCAACTCTCGAACTTCCGCTCACGTTAAACCTTAAAATGAAAATTTAAATTTTACAAACAAATTTTTCATTATTATTATTATTATTATTTTTACCGTTTTCCTAATCGTACCTTTTGGCGCAAGACATGGAACAAAACCTTTTCGATTTTTTAAATTTTGCTTTCAAATCTTTTTTCCCGCACGTTTCGCAAGTCGCGAGCTTTTTAAATTTTCCACTTTCGTTATTGTTTCCCAATAGAGATTTTTTCATGGGGGGCTCGCCGTCTTCGTTGAGTTTTTTCAATAGGCCATCCATGCAACCTCTGTTGACTGGAAAAGGTTCGGATGATTCTTGTATAACGAAACCGTCAATGACGTGAGTCAACACTTGAGGTTTAACCACGACCATTGCTTTGGGTTGAACCCCACCCAGAGAATCTTTATCGTTTGTTTTCTTTTCGTTTTCTTTGTCTTCACCCGACGCGACATTGTTACTACCCGCCTCGAGGGTTCCTCCCGTTTTTTCCACTTTGACTTCTGCTGCGGGTGCGGTACCTGTTACGCGTACAATAATCGAAAATTATATTTTTTGGAAAAAGGAACATTCAATCGATTACTTCTTCTTCGATTTTTTTAACAATTACCAGAAGCGGCGGCGGCGGCGGCAGCAGCAGCAGCAACACCGGCGGCTACATTAACACCCGTCGCAGCGCTCGATTCCTCCGAACCTGACGTGTTGTCATCATTCGGACGTCCGGATGATGCCGTTTCCGGTCCCCCTGTCCCGTCCGTTTTGTTTTCCGTTCCTTCTTGTTTTAAATTTTGTTGCGTGGGTAATACTTGTTGAGCAATGGGTACTCCCTATGAATAAAAAAAAAAAACATTTTAGAAACAAGTTACAACTTTTGACTCGACACAAAAAAAAAATAATAATAATAATAATCGGATTACGTAGTATTAAAAATACCTGAACTTGTTGACCGGCTGATAGTGCCAAACCTGATGCCATGGTCGTGATACCCGGTACAGCTTGAACAATCATATTTCCCATTACTGGACCCATTTGTCCCGGTGGCATTGATACAACCGGCATAACATTTCGGTCGGCAGGATTTTGCATGTTATTGCTGAGTATTATTTGACCTGAACGACAAATTAAACAAAATTTAAACCTTTTTTTTTTTTTTTTTTTTTTACACAGGTACGAAAGAAAAGAAAAAAAAACTTGAAAAATACCCGAAGGTGTTTTTTGTTCCATCGGTTGATGCAACATGTTTTGCATTTGCTCGATTTGATTAAGAGGCTGTTGCTGCGGCGGAACTCCCTGCTGTTGTTCGGGAATTTGATTTTGAAATGATTTTATTATTTTATCTTGTCCTACATTTGAAACTACGATTCTGCAAAAAGAATTGAAAAATTAATCGACCTGAATTCCTCGGAAAAGTTAAATGAAAAAAAATAATTCAACAGAGCAAATGAAATTACTTTGGCTGTAAAACTTGTCCTGCGGAAGATTTTGTTTGATTTGCTGCGTCCGACTTTTGCGAAGTTGCCATGCTTGGCATTCTGTAAACATTTTTTGTTCGTACCTGAAACCGACACACATTTGTTAAAGTCACACCATTTACACACGCGTAACCTTTTCGAAATTTCATCGAATGTAAATAATACCTTCGTTCCTTGAGCTTTTTGCGATTGATAAGTCGCTTGGTGTACCGTCGTTTGCGTTTGACCGGTTTGCGTGCTCACGCTGGCAGGCCTTATATTTTGCTGTCCTATCGAACTTGGCAGTATGGTCGAAAACGTTTTAGGAATGGCAGTCTTGGGTTGAACGTTTCCCACCGCTTCGTTGTTTATTTGCTGTCCCGCTATTTCTAAAAATCAAAGAATGAATCAAAATTAAGGTTTGAGTCGAGTCCTGAGGTTTTGAAGTAAGAATCGAAAGAGTAACGACGTACGATTATGCTGTGGAATAGATGAGGGTTGAGTATTTTGAATGAACATCCCCGTCTGCTCGTGTTGAGGATTTCTAATAAATATTTGACTTCCTTGAGCTAACAAAGCTGAGCTTTGTATCGCACCGGGAGCCCAAGCCAAACCTTGAGGCAATCCCGTGGGTCCGAATGTCGCTTGCCAAGGAGCAAATTGCATGGCTTGAGTTGAACCTTGAGGAACTTGTGGCACTCCTCTCTGTTGCTGGGTATACTAAATACGAAAAAACAAACGTATTTTAACGTCTCGACATCTTCAGGGTAAAATTTAAAAGTTTGTGAGAAAAAAAAAAGGTACTTCGTACCTGGATGGGACTTAGAATTTGAGGCTGTATGATAGTTTGAGCTTGAGTGGTTATACCCTGAGGTTGAGAACTGACCAAACTACCGATCGATACGTTCTGCTGCTGGTTGGTCGTTTGCTTTGCATTATTATTATTCGACTTGGTGATCATCTGTAAAAGTAAAAATTACGTCACAATACGTTTGTCTTTTTCCCACATAACAAAAATCAAATAACACACGTGATAATAATAATAATAAAATGGTCTTACTTTCTGCATTTCTTGAGGTTTTCCCTGTTGCTGCGAAAGAATATTAGTCTGTCCTAAAACACCCAATTGAGAAATGACTAATGTTTGATTGTTACCGGAAGTTGGAATGGTCGCATAACCGGGAAAGGAAGTTGTTTGCCCTTGAACTAATTGCTTTCCTTGAGCAGTGGTCAGCATGTGCGGCATTTGCCCGGATTGAAATGCTTTTCCAGCGGCTATAACCTGTATGGGTTGATTCATATTCGCAGGATGCAAAGCAATGTTTCCCGGCATTATCAGTTGTCCTTGAGTGTTATACACGGGTTGAATGTAAGTCGGATTTTGAATGGGCTGCTGAATGACTTGGACCTATCGGTAAAAAAAAAAGCTCTGTGTGAAACCCCGTCGGATGTAACGAGTAGAATAAGCGTTTATGAGAACAAAGACAAATTTCTTACGCGTCCGTGCCCAGGCCAATCCGCCATTTGTTGCGGGGGTCCCGTGCTCATCGTCGTTATGGTCGTGCAACCGCTTTGAGTGGGCATCGGAGCTATGGTAGGAGGACTCTGCAAATTTTGCATTGCTTGTTGAGGCAATATAGTTTGTTGAGCGGCCATTACCATCGTCGAAGTCGGATTCATCGTCGCATTCGATGACGCAACCTAAAGTTTCCCAAAACAAAATATTATTAATACGACTACGAAACGATTTGAAAGAAAAGAAAAAAAAAAAAGGACGACGAGTCGACAAAAACTCACCCGATTTCCCTGGGGATGCATTTGATCACTGCCATCTTGAGATATTTGAACTTGTTGAACTTGTATTTGATTTTCAACTTGCTGCCTTTGTATTTGAGCTTGCTGCTGTTGTGGGGCTTGCTGTTGTTGCTGAGCGTTTTGCTGTTGCTTATTATCATTCATTTTTACCCTGAAACACGATTTCAACGAATAAATAAAACATCATCATCATTATTATTATTATTAACTTATCGAATGAGAGTTTAAGAGTAAAAGCAACAATATATATATATTTTTTTTTGTAATACGTTGTTTGACTTCTTTTATAAAAAAAAAAAAAACAAGTTTTATTTATTTTATTTTATTTTTAACACAAATTACACGCAAGGGATGATTCCAGAAAGGAAAAAAAAAGGAAATAAAAAATGTTTTCCTTTTTTTTCCTTTTTTCCTTTTTTTTTTTTTTTTTTTTGTAACTGAATTCCCTTGTTACCATTAAATAAAACATAGTCTCTAAGCTTTTGATAAGGTTTTTTTGTTTCCAAACAACACAAACAACAAACAATAAATAATTTTTTTATTAGTTTTCTTTTTTAATAGAAAACAAACTGGAAAAAAAATAAAAATAAATAAATAAATAAAGTAAACATTTAATCCGTCCATAAAAAAACGAAAAAAAAAAAAAAAAAAATGAATAAAGAAACCAGTACGGATTAATGTCAGGTGAAACGCAATAATAAAACTTATACTTAAATTTAAAAATTTTCTTTTTCTTTTTGGTCAGTTGTAATAACCGTAATTTATAATAATAATAATAATAATAATAATAATAATAATAATAATAATAATAATAATAATGATGATGATGATGATGATAATTTTTATTATTATAATTTGCGGTCCTGTAAAAATAACGTTTAAAGATTTACGAAAAAAAAAAAAAAAAAAAAAAAAACTTGGTGCTGTCTCGCCCCTCAAAACCTTAAAATCAGGTTTTTTTTTCATTCTTTCCCTACTCCTCCCCTTCCCTCCTCCTGCATTTAAAAAAAAAAAAATTTTTTTTTTACGCGAGGGTTGTTTCGGTTCGATTTCGAAACCCTTCGTTTTTATTATATTAAGTCATTCACAAAATCCAGATCCTTCCCCTCTTCAGCCGAGCCAGACGATTCGGAGAAGATTAAACCGTGAAAAAATTTTAATCAAAAACTATCGTACGAAATAAATGAAACAAACATTAAACATGGGGATGCATCCCCTAACGAAAACCAACCCCCCTCCCCCCCAAAAAAAAAAAAGTCACATACGAGCAAACATTCGACGGTTATGGATGGAAGAGGATTCACAACAAGATGGAGAGATACGAAATAAAATAAAAAAAAAAAAAAACTTTCCTTTGAATTAGCAGTAGGGCCAACATTCATTTCATAACCGATATACCGGACAGGTGATGGTGTTGGTGGTGCTGCGCAACCCCCCTCCCCCCACACACGCACGCACGCACGCCAGGTATGCATGCAGTTGTCTCGTGTTTTTTTTTCTTTCTTTATTTTCTTTTTACCATCTTCGTGTGTTATCAGGTTGCGTGAATCGCCGCATCGTCAACACAAATTTTTCGGGTAAAATTTATCGGTGCGTTCGAATGCAATTCGGAGGGACACGGGAAAAACATTAACCGTCGTTTTTCATTTGAATAAAAAAAAACTTAAATTAAAATAAAAAGACCGAGGTTAAAATAAATTTTCCCTATTGAAACTCTACCATTTTAAAATTATTAAAAATTCAGAGAAAAAAAAAAAATGGAATCTTACCCCCTCAGACACTAGGATTTCTGGAATTTCGATATTATTTAATACCAAACGGAGAACAAAGACAGAGAGACAGAGAGAGAGAGAGAGAGAGAGAGAGAGAGAGAGAGAGAGAGAGAGAGAGAGAGAGAGAGAGAGAGAGAGAGAGAGAGAGAGAGAGAGAGAGAGAGTTATTGTCGTCGTCGTAGTTTCTAGAAATCCACAACCGTAACAACTACAAAATAATTTTTAAAAGACTTTTTTTTTTTTTTTGCAACAAAAAATATAAACATTACAATTAACATTTTAATTTATCAAAATCTCCTCCACACCGTTATGATTTATGGGATAAGTTGAAAAGAAAAACAAAAGAGAGAGAGAGAGAGAGAGATGGGGGGCGGAGGGAAAGAACTCCAAAAAAAAAAAACAAGGAAAAGAGGAAAAGGAAAAGAAATTTTCGGTGGGAAATTAAAAAAAAAAAAAAACTTTTAAAAAAATTAAACTCGAAAAAAAAAAAAAAAAATTTTCTTGTTGTTGTGAAGAGAGTTCGCCATTTTCTTTTTCTCCCCTCCCCTCCCCTTCCCCACAGTATTCCCATCATCACTTTTTTAAACGTTCTTTCTTTAGGTTATGTATTTTACGCAAAACTAAACACGAACGGGGGAGGGAATGAGAAGGATAGGGAAGGGGATGGGAATTCGCATACGAAAACGTCACCCTCTCCCGTTTTTTTTTTTAATTCTTTATTAAATCGCGCCTAAAAAACCTTTTTTTTTTTTTTTCAAGCATTCACGGTATTGGAAAATAATAATAATGATGATGACGATGATAATGATAATAATAATAAAAAATACCAAAATGAATACGGCGCGGCTGTTTGGGAATATACACACACACACACACAAAAAAAGAGAGAGAAAAAGAGAGAAAAGTTTTTTTCGAAACACCTTGTAGCTCGGGTTGCGAAGGGATCACAACATTGAACAAGATCAATAAGGGTCTTCCATCCCTCACCGTATCTGACAAAAGTCCCTGGAGGGTTAGTACCCTCGGATTTATAAACGCATTTTCTGTCCCTTTCACGTCTGCTCCGGGTTAATGTGCAACATTTCCAAACCGAAAAGAAAACACGAAAAAAATTTAATTTTTTTTCTCTCTTTTTCTCTCCAGGTTTTTTTTCCCTTCCTTTTCCTTTTTCTCCTCCTGTAAAAACCTGTACGTATTTTTATTGGGGAGCGGGGAGAAAATTCAATTCAAAACAATTATAATAATAATAATAATAATAATAATAATAATAATAATAATAAAAGCCAACGGCCATAGCGTGCTGGTCACACCGGTTCCCGTACGATCACCGAAGTTAAGCAGCATCGGGCGTGGTGCAAACTTGGATGGGTGACCGTTTGAGAACGCCACGTGCTGTTGGCTTAAAAAGAGCAAAAAAATGAGAACAAGACAAAGTAAGAACCAAAAACAAAATCTTGTTCTACGGTCGACCTGAGGCAACTCGACGAGAATGTGAATTTCACTGCTTCTGACCTGGCCACTCCAAAGATGTTAGTCACTGGAGCCCAGTTCAGGAGACAAATCGTTCCCATCGAAAAAGACGGACTCAGGAAGACCTTCAAGAATTGATGTGGTGCTATCTTATAATAAGTGGCACCACCGAAATTCGAGTATTTGTCCCTAAGGAATCGGGTAGAAACCTCGGATAAATACTTAAAAACTCCGACAAGTAGCCTTGTCGTGTTTAATGGTGGATAATAATAATAATAATAATAATAATAATAATAATAATAATAATAATAATAATAATAATGAAATTGCGCGTATACTCGTAAAATTTCAATTTTTTTTTCTTCCGTTACGACCTCGTTCCACCAACATCCGAAAAAAAAAAAAATTTCTCAAAATTCCAATAATACCTTTCGGAATTCCAACTTTTGAAAAAAAAAAATATATAAACGCACATATTTTTTTTTTTTTATATATATATAAATTATCTAAAAAATTTTAAGAAGAGAAAAATTAAAAAAATAAGATAAAAAAAAAAAAAATGTATTCTTTTGATGTTATCACACCTGGAGGCCATTAGTTACGCTACAAGAAAATTTTTTTTTTTTTTTTTTTTTGGTTTTTAGTTTAATAATTTCACTACGCGTTTATCTTTTCCACATTTTTATTTTAATATTAACGCGCAACGCGGTTCGGGGATAATGCAAGAGCAGAAGAAAAAAAAAAAAGAAAAAAAATTCCAGAAAAAAAAAAAAAAGGTAAAATGCAAAACACTGACTTCCATTCATTCATCCACACAACCACCTAAGGGAATTATTTACATTAAATGAAAAAGGAAAAAAGAAAAAAAGAAAAAGAATTTTCCAGCGAAAATCTAAAAAAAAAAGTAATAACGGAAACATCATCATCATCATCATCATTTACTCTTTCTCAAAACTTTTCCCTGGAATAAATCCAAAGAAGCATTTAGAGTAAATATAACAATAAGGGATGCTGGAAAAAAGATTTTAATAAAAATTTTCATTTTTTCCAAAAATCATTTCCACGTTTCAATAAGAGGTTATAATAGTTAAACGTACCTTTTCCACCCGCATCCCGCACCCTCCCCCCTCAGTACACGCTCAGGTACCAATCAAAAAAAATTAATTTTTCCCTCCCTCCCTGCTCCGCCCACCCCCTCAAAAAAAACCTTAATAAAAGTAATTTAAAGTTAAATGAAAAACTAATTGGGTACCTATCGGATCAATAGGTAGGTACGTAGGTAGGTAGATACCTATCCGACCTGGTATCAACAAACCAATAATTTTATTAACTAAAAAAAAAAAAAAAGAAAAAAAATTACGTTAATTTACGTTAAACCTCACGAAACCTTTCTTTCCTTCATTATCATTTTTTTAATTTTTATCTATATCGAAATAACAAACCTTTAATTTCGAGAGAGAGAGAGAGAGAGAGAGAGAGAGAGAGAGAGAGAGAGAGAGAGAGAGAGAGAGAGAGAGAGAGAGAAAGAGAGAGAGAGAGAGAGAGAGAGAGAGAGAGAGAGAGAGAGAGAGAGAGAGAGAGAGAAAGAGAGAGAGAGAGAGAGAGAGAGAGAGAGAGAGAGAGAGAGAGAGAGAGAGAGAGAGAAAGAGAGAGAGAGAGAGAGAGAGAGAGAGAAAGAGAGAGAGAGAGAGAGAGAGAGAGAGAGAGAGAGAGAGAGAGAGAGAGAGAGAGAGAGATGGAAACCTAGATATAAAACCGTGGAAAAATTCATTTCACTTCTCCCCCCTAACTTCCCACGACCTCTCCAGCAGACCTCTTTCTCACTTCGGGTACTACCATCTTTCTCTCTCTCTCTCTCTCTACATTTAGGGACATACGACACTCACTCACACGTTAGCGTCCACGAAACGAATTCTATCCGATTCGAGGAGTGGGGGGAGGGAGAGGGAGGAGGTAAAAAACCAATTGATGATACGTATATATCGATAAGAAAATAAAATCAAATCCATTCACGAAACGACGACATTTTTTATTTTTCTCATCATTCTCATTCTCATTCTTATTATTATTATTAGTAATTTTTTTTCGTGGGGCTGATAAGAAACGTGACACCGTCGTACTCGGGGAAAAGAATGAACGTTCGAACGAGAGTTCGTGCCACGACACAATTTTACGCATCGCGTTACCTCAAATTAATTTTATATAGTAAAATAAATCAAGTCAGCGAAAAAAAAAAAAAAACCCAAGCGGATGCCATAGACACGCACAAGCGTAGTTTTACGTCATTTTGTTTTAACCTTCCCGGAATTTTTCCTCTCTCAAAAACCCAAAACAAAAAACAAAATCGTTTAAATGACGTAGTAAGT